GGATTATACACACAATATACGATATGTTTCTATAAATTTAACCAACGCAGGAACGAAACATTTGCGATTTTATTGACGTGCGAGGCAACGAGGATTGATGTTACGGTTTTGTGAAATAAACATTACTCTATTGTTTGTTGATGTAACTTTTATTTCAAATAACGACCCTCGTCCGGGATTCGTTATTTTTATCACGGGCAAACAGTGACAACGGATGATAAATTTATTAATGACTGAAAGTTTAAAAGTACAAACAATTAATTGCGTAAAAATCTAGAACCAATAAATCGATCATTCTGTTTTCTTTTTGCTGTCAATTTCGTTTCGTAATTAATAACCGAAGTTTGTTCTTATTTTAAACTATATTTCTCTGCGCAAGGGTTGCCTCCGATGGAAGTCGACTGTTAAAAGAAAAAAATATTATAACGCTGAGAGGAAGAAAACGAAGAAAGTTGTATCATGGTTACGTAATGATATGACGGAGCATAGAATATTTTTCCCTCTGTTTTCCCTCTTATACTGTTGAAAATGCAGATTGGCTTCCTCGACGACTTTCTGTTAATAAGTCCTGTTTCTCCAAGGAAAGAAAACAGCACAAACGTAACCGTGTAAAAGATATGACTATTTCTTATATCTATCTACTTTCTAAGAATTAAATAAATTAAAAAATATTAATAAGTTTTCCTCCTGTCTTTAAGTAACTTAATTTCTAACGTATACATGAAAAAATGTACTGTACATAATAACCACTCACTTATATTGCAAACACATCTAATTAATAATATTAATAAGCAAAATTTTGCGTTTAATTACACGATCGTTGCCACAAACATTGTTATATAATAAACACCGATAATTAACTTCCGTTAAAATAATCAATTGCACTAGGAAGGCATTTAACTTATTGTGTATGAAACTCTGTACCAACTTCTCACCTTAGAAGTTGCTCTCCATCAGCCTCACGAATCACTCTCACTGAACCAACTGCCGCGAATGCAAACTGCAACAACTCGAACCGAATTCAACTGTAAATGACCGCAGAAGTTTCGCTCGCCGGTGTTTCAATTTCTTCATTGTCCCACGTCACCGCGAGCGTCGAGCTTTCGCTGAGGATTCGCGTCATCGTCCATTTCGTGCGAGCGAGGATGCGTGATAATAGGAAAGAGAGGAAGCCAGGAAAAAGGCGAGAAACATAGTAGCCAGAAAGAAAACCGGCCGACCGGGTTGGTTGCTGCGCAAAAAAGAGGCAGCCAGAAAAGTCGGGGAACCGGTAACGAGCTTGCGGTCGAAAGAGAGAAAGAAAGAGGAGGTCTGGTTGTATCGGGGTTCCTCGTGTTTGTGGAACGTAATATCGAGTCGTTCTCTGTCTTTTTCGCTTACGCGTGCACTCTACGTGCGTCCGGGTGTTTCATTGTGTGCGGAACGTTACACGGTTACCCGTCGTAAAGAAAGGAACGTTTTCTGTATCATCTCTCGCGCGCAACGCCGCGCTGCGCGGCGTTGTCTTTCTTAATATCACCGCTCCCGGGAATATCCGGCTCGCTGGAACCTGGGATGTGAATGCAGATTTGAAACGGACCTCCCTTCGAAGAAATATTGTGCCACGCTCGTCTTTTCGATTCCTCCTGTCTGCACGCTATGCATCTACATCTACTGCGGAATCGTTCCACTGAACTTCCTCAATTCTTCGAATTTTCACGACTTTCGTTCTTCTCTTTTTTAGAGAACCTGCAGTCGATTATTCTAAATAGTATGTGTAATAATTATTACCTGGCCGCCGACCATGCCTTGGCGAAGCCTGACCAGATCTGTCTGACTCCAGGCGCTTTTGCTCCAGGGCGCGACCTGTCGTAGGTCCTTGTCGAAATCGAACTCGGCCAGCTGGTTGTGGACGAAGTTTCGTATGTTCCATGGGAGGTCATTGTGGCCGTCGATCAGTGGCACCTCGGTGAGAACCTGTCGCACGGTTTCCAACCTTTCTTTGGGCGATGTCAGGTGTGCAGCCTCGCCATCGGCTGGTCGCGGGCCAACTTTCCCGACCCTGCTACCAATTGTCAGTACGATCACGATTGCTGTCCAGACACCGCTCTGACCGCCACACTGGAACACACCGTTCGATTATTGGCGGTTAGCCGACAATTATCCAACTACATTCGGCCAACAGCGGTAAGGTGTGGCCAATTGAGCTCCCGCGAGAGGAGGAATTTAGTTATTTGTCTTATTTCTTTATAAAAATCATAACAAATGTGAAGAATCCGTCATCAGATATATATACTTAGTTATAATTTAAATATTAGAAGAATAATAAACAGAAAGGACAAATTCTAATAACTATGGAAAAATTGATTTCGATGCTGGGCATGAAAATTCCATTCCCTTCATGTCTCCTCCAGTAGGGATTGAAAATATCTTTTGGGACCTTTCCAGGTCACCTTCAGTCACATGATTCTAACGATTTATTGGCGAGTTTCGGTTTTATGGTCGCCAGGAACGTTCCTACAACTGATTGTAAATAATGTTTCAGCAAAAGTTTCGTATTTCAGCTCTGATAATGATACATACAATTTTTCCTCTCGTGAGGTTAACGGACATATCCCGGGAAAAGTATAATTGTAGTTAGAATTTCACGTATAATCTCTAAATAAACTTTCTGAAATTGTATATTTTATTATACATAAATAACTGTCGGATGTATGAAGAAGATTCTGATGACATATTTCCAAAGTTACGACGGGAGGAAACATATTATCTCTCTATTAATAGTGTTGAACCCAGATATTAGTTTCCGGAAATGTGTCTCGCATTAATTTAACCGAATGTCGTCTGCACTCTCAGCCTCAGACAGGCAGTCGAAAGGGCGAATAGATATGCGATATCCAAAGAGGTGAAGTTCAGCGACGACGGCTGAACGCGAAGTAGAAAGCTTTGATGTCTTCGTCCAGAAATAATTTACTGTTTCGTCCTGTGAGCTGCAAATGTGCCCAGAGACACGGCGAACTGTCATCGCTGGCCTGCAGCCGGTGAATAGTTTATGGTAACCGTCAAAGGATTATTAGGAGTTCGTTTTTCCTCACGGAGAGCCCGTTTCAGGCATGCGACAGCCAAAAGACCGGGAAAAGAGATTGTTCCACTCTCTTATTCCTCAATTATTTTCATTCTGTACCGTTTGTCAAATCAATTCCTTGTATTTGCAGAGCTCGTTTTATACATTTTAGTTGTTTAAAACTAACTCTTTTCTAGAATATCTGTTTTTAATACATGGAACATCAAATTATATTTAAATTGAATAAAATAAACTTCATAATTTGATTATCTTGTAGATATTCGGGACAAAATTGATCCTTGTCTGTAATTCTGTGTGGAAAAATAAACGGAAATTTGATTTTCATATCTACTTCTGAGTGTCAAACGAGATTACGTCATTGGTGATAATTTGAAGGAATGACGGATTGCCTCTTCGGTTGGGGAATGATTGATCGAAGTCGTTTGATTAAAAAAGAAGATCGCCTGTCCCAATTCGTTTCCATGGAAGACGAACTTCCCTTCTACGTAATTGATTATGATAACGGAATTAATATTGACGCGAGAGACCGATCGAGAAGGAATAGCAAATTTAAGCACAGAACTAAAGATTGTCTACGTCAATTCTATATTCTTCTAAAAAAAAGATACTTAAATATTCTGAATTATCATAATTTTCTGTAAAATCAGTTACGAAATCAATTACGGGTCGAGGTACAGATTAAACAGAAACGAATTACGTAAATCCTCTACTGTCTGCTTAAACTCGTATGGGAATATGTAAAATGGGTTAACACAGGAACTGTGTATGAAAGATCGACAAGCGTGGAAGTACCGGTGCTGAACAACGTCGTTTAGTTATAGCTGCATCCACTGTCTGACCTAACGAGCAGTTATACTACTTGCCTGCCGGACTGCGGTAACAAAGTTGAGCCCAGCGATGGAATTCATCTATCTACTCACGAATCCGAGCTAATTGGCGCACTTCTAAAAAGCGCATAGACCGAGGTTACAGAAATCTTGGAAAAACGTGAGGTGAAAAATAAAAAATTAAACATGACAACAGTAGACGTATAGAACGAAGAATTTAATCAATGCCTGCTAGACGGGATGCCCTCAAAATGAATTTCACCTGGAACAGGTCCGCTTTTCGCCCAGGCCACCCCCACTTCGATTAGCACACCCTCGTAAAAATTCCAATATCGAATGGCTACGACGGCGCAACATCGACAAATCTTTTTCGATTCGACGCCGACGCGAAACCGTTTCGCGATTTACATCCGCAGCCGTTTTTATTAAAAGATCGTAAAAGAGCTTCACTTCACTCCGGTCCTCTTCGTTAACTCTCCTCGGGCGTGTGCGTCGCACACGAACCAAGGGGGAACACACGAAACAAATAAAACGAAAGAGAGTTTGGTCGATACGGCAGGACCGGGGCAGGGCAGCCGTCGGAGCTGGCCGGCATCCAAATGTCGAACGTAATAAAAGGTCACATTAAAAGAATCCGCTCGAAGAAAGTCAGGGACGGCGGCAACAAAGCCCGAATTGATGCCCGGCCACGGGACATGTTCGATACGACCACAATGGGATACTTACAAAGCTTTAAAGTCAGCCAAAAATCACTATGTTCTTCTGTGCACCTTTTCTTTCCTTGTACTTTGTTGTTTCCTTTGCACCAATCAATATATATACATATATATATAAGTATATAAAATCAGGTCATTGAGTTTAACATTAAATTTTAGTTTAATTGAAATTAAACAAAAATTGCAGAAAGGACTTTCTGCATTCTTTAGTATGTTTTTTATTTATTTTTATTATTACTATGTTTATTAAATTTAATTATTACTATTTTATTAATTTTATTATTACTTTGTTATGTATTATGTTAATTTAATTATTACTATGTTTGAAATTCATTAAAGGAGTGACCATTTCGCAAATTAATTATTACTGAAGCTGGCAAGAAATCATTTACTTCTAACTTTTACCATTTTTCTTGTGCTGAAATAAATTGTAATCGTATCATCAAATGGCTTACACATACCTATACGTATATCATTATCGTTAACGCGTACGTTGGAATTTAACGCGTTCACCGAATTTATAACTTGGCTGCTCGAGACAGCTACTTCGAGGTGGTAAAAGGGTGAGGAGCACGTTGGCGCGGGGAAATATATTCCTGAAGCCCCGAGGCCTCGGGTATTTTTGTTTTATAACCCCTTCCCTCGTCCGTTCGCTCGGGCCCGGCTTTATGGGCTTACGCCGACCTGTACGCGGCAGCGGTGTCGGCGTACGTTTGGAATTTTGATAAGTCGCGGATTTCGAGTCAGCTTCCACTGTGCTTAGTTCCCCCTTCGACGTGGCTTGTTGTTCGAAAGGAATCACGCTCTCTGTATACTCGGATACAAAGTTAACTGTATGACTGAAATGCCTCTTTTATTCCATTTCAGTTGAGCTTACGCAGCATTTCTTGTTTAGAATTAATTAAATTCGTTCTGTGGATAGAAAACATAAAACAATAGTTTTAGACAGTAGAGTTATGATTTAAGTTATTAAATGATTTTAAGTCGTTCGTTAAAAAAATTAAATATACTTGTGATATTATAGTAAAGATGAAAAATATGCGTTTAATTTTATATCGAGTATTTCGAACGATTCCGAAGACGACGCGTTTTCACTTTGACGCGATTTTATCGCGTGTAGGATTGCACTGCGCTGTACCGTGAAAACTCGTAAACTTGACGACGTCGGCTATCGAGTTTAAACAACGTTTATCTCGCTTAATCGACGTTTTAACGGCTCGGCCGACTCAGGAAGAGATCGAATTATCGCGGGAAAATTGCGACCCTTCCGAACGAAAATAACGGCGCGTCCGCCAGCCCCGAGCGACCCGGGTTTTATTAGCGACCTGGTTTTCTTCAACTTCAAATCGAAGCGCAGGAACGTCCACCCATCTATGGAAATGCATCCCAAAAGCATTTTACAGATTCGACAAAATTGATCGCCTATCCTGTTCAAAAGGAAAATAGATCTCCATGAAATACCTTAGGGAGAAGTCAATGGCACATGAGCGAAGGTAAACAATAAATATTTTGTAAGTGTCTATGTACGTTTGCTTTACAAGAAGCGTTCTTCTTTTTATTACTATCGCGCTCCATTTCCCAATGCCACCGATCAGCCATCTCGGAGAAACACGATTATTCCACGGTGGAACGAGCTTTTTTAACGGCGTTCCACTTGAAAAGAAAGTGAAACAGTCGTTTGCACGCGCGTGCAAACGGGATCTTTACATTTCCGCACCTTTCGCCGCGAGCAGTAACGCGCGAACGGGAACAAGAGCAGCGAGAGGGACAAGGCGAGGGAGAGACAGTAACAATAAGTATGTAAGCACTTTGTTACGAAATGGCCTCGTAACGTTCGGAATTGCACGACTGCCTCTTATGGTGTGACCATAAAAACTCTTAAAGGCCGATCTTATTTTTAACTAGCTTCACCGTCTATCCTGTATATCGCTTTTCTCATCGAACTTTAGAGATAGAAGTGTAATTTACTAATGCTTTCTTTTTACAGACGCAGTGGATTTTAAATCAGGTTTAAAGTTCTGAATTGTGACACTCTCGTCATTTCTGATCATTTTTTAAATTACTTTATTATTTGCAAAGAACATAAACAATTTTTTTTTATTTAGACCTCGATGCTTTAGTAAGCCTTTTATAATTTCTAATTCACTTTCTTATCACATTCTCACCGAGAGCATCTAAGCTATCTGTTCGCTTTGATTTACTAGATCCTTCGACGTTCGTCTTCATTCGTCACGACTGGTCCTTGGGCAATAGGGTAATATTTTCAAGTTACCGAATGCAGGTCCCTACTCGCCAAAGTGGAAGCAAGTAAGTGGAAATTTAACAGTAAACGTCAGGGCATAAGGGAAGCGAATTGGAAATTTCTCCGGTAGCAATTTGTGTTACGTGACCGCCTACACGGTATTTCATGGAAATTTCTCTGGGGACGTACCCCAGACGAAGACGCAGTGTCCAATTCAATGGACGGAACGGTAATTTTGAACGCGTTTCTGA